GCCAGCTGGATTTAACTCCATTCACCACCACTCTCTGGGCCCAGCCCAGCCTTTCAGCCAGTTCTTTATCCAGCAGAGAGTACACCCATCCAAACCATGCGCAGCTAGTTTCTCCAGGAGGATGCTGTGGGGAACAGTGTCAAAGGCCTTACTAAAGTCCAGGTAGATAATATCCACAGCCTTTCCATCATCCACCAGATGGGTCACCTGGTCACAGAAGGAGATCAGGTTCCGGTCAAGCAGGACCTGCCTTTCATGAGCCCATGCTGGCTGGGCCTGGTCCCCTAGTTGTCCTTGACATGCCTGGTGAGCGCACTCAGGATGAACCACTCCATACTTTTGCCCGGCACCGAGGTCAGGCTGACAGCCTGTAATTCCCAGGATCTTACTTCCGGCCCTTCTTGTAGATGGGTGTCACACTGGCAATCCTCCAGTCATCTGGGACCTCCCCTGTTAGCCCAGACTGCTGATAGATGACGGAGGGTAGCTTGGCCAGTTCCTCTGCCAGTTCCCTCAGCTCTCTTGGGTGAATCCCATCTGGCCCCATAGACTTGTAAGTGGCCAGGTGGCATAGCACATCGTTAACTTCTTCCTCCTGGATTATGGGAGGTTTATTCTGCCCTCCATCCCTGTCTTCCAGCACTGGGGCTGACTACCCTGGGAATAAACAGTCTGACTACTAAAGACTGAGGCAAAGAAAGCATGAAGTACCTCAGCCTTTTCTTCATCCTTGATGGCAATGTTCCCCCTCATATCCAATCAGGGATGGAGATTCTCCTTGGCCCTCTTTTTGTTGTTGATATATTTGTGAAAACGTTTTTTGTTATCCCTTGCAACAGTGGCCAGCCTGAGTTCTAGCTGGGCTTTTGTCTTTCAAATTTCCTCTCTGCACACCTAAGGAGACCCCTGTACTCCTCTTGAGTTGCCTGCCCTTTCTTCCATTGGTGGCAGACCCTCCTTTTTTTTCTGAGTCCCAGCAAGAGCTCCCTGTTCAGCCAGGCTGGGCATCTTGCCCCCTGGTTCATCTTGTGGCACACAGGGACAGCCTGCTCCTGTGCCTTTAAGACTTCCTCGTTGAAGAATGCCCAGCCTTCCCGGACCCCTTTGCTCTTCAGGACTCTGTCCCAAGGGACCCTCTCAACCAGCGTCCTGAACAGGCCAAAGTCTGCCCTCCGAACGTCCATAGTGGTCATTTCACTGACCTCCCTCTCCTTGCTTCACCAAGAATCAAGAACTAAAGTTCTCAAAAACTCAGGAACTCAAGATAAGCAAGTCTAAAAAGCACATTCAAGAGTAAAGAAGTAAATGGAAAACTTTTTCTAGTTTCATTACTATTTCAGTACATTTCAGCATCTAAAAATAAGCTTGGGAACACGTAATTGTTCAAACATCATGTTAATCCCAGAGGGCTTTGAAGCCAACTTCTCCTCTTACCGAAAGAAGTTAGTGTATTTTGTTTACTTGAAAAAGCTCAGGTCTTCACTACAGCATCCTGACAGAACTGTTCTGGAATTTCGGCATTGTTCTGTAAACAACCTTCACTATGCTGCTTTTACACTCCAGTCTAATTATTTCAAAGCTTCTATATTAAAACCTAAATAGCTTCTTCTCCCTGCAGAAAAACCCTTCTCTTTCTTAAAGAGGGACTCAGGGTCTTGCTGCCATCAAAGAATTTATGTGCAGTTCACTAAGCATCAGAAACTACAGCTCCTTAGTTCAGAAAGTCTTTTTTTTCACCAAATTTTTCCCTCCTTTTTTCTTTTGCGGGATACTTAC